CCCCTCATCTCCCTCCTATACCACACACCCCTCCCTCCTATACAATACGCACTCCTCCTCTCCCTCCTGTACCTTACACACCCCTCCCCCTCATCTCCCTCCTATACCACACTCCCCCTCCCTCCTATACCACTCACATAAGTTGATGGTAGATACAGTTAGATGGTACTCACCTACATCATTCAATATGAAAATTTTAAAATTAAATAACTAGTGAAGAATAGAGAGCAAAGATAACTGTTGTTACTCATACGTTGTTTAAATAGTTTCCTTTGGTGTTGCATCACAGCCTGCTGTCAGTGTCGATGGAGGTGGCTAACGAGAATTCTTCCAGCTCTGAGACTCTGTCTACTGTGGAGCAATGTGACTGTCCGTATGGCTACACGGGCCTATCTTGCGAGGTGTGTGATGAAATCATTCCTCACTCCCCGTAGTGTTTCTGCAAATATACACAACACTTTTACAGAAATGAGAATGTAGGCCTGTGCTTACTTCAGCTTTTCGAGTTTCGTGCTCATTCACATGAATTTCTCGTTGTTAATTTCGTCATATTATCATGAACCTGCGCATGCACACACTGTTGCACACAAGAACGCACACGCACGCACGCACGCACGCGCATAAGTATAATATACGTAGAAATCTGTACCCCTGTTCAGCATATCATGCTAAAGGCGTTTTTATGTAATTGCCACATTCTCATTCAGATCTATAGTGTTATATAGTGTGTGTGTAATGTAGTGCTACAGAGACAGTTGTGCTATATCATGTGTTTGTTATGCGGACAGCAATGTGACGTCGGATGGCGACGGGTGGACGAGACTCTGTACGAGGGCAAGTGTGAGCGCTGCCGTTGCCATGGCCACGCAGACGCCTGCGACGCTTACACCGGCGAGTGCTTGGTGAGTGTATATGTCCCCCGCAGAATAAAGATGTCTGACAAATGCAATAATCTACTTGCTATTTATAGTGTTAGTAATGACTGTCGTAACCATGAACCTAAGATTAGCCCTAATTCTGTCTCCCTAGATTCATCTCACACCATACCCTGTACCATGTGTGTGCTTATGTGCTTGCTGCTTTGCTATCAGCATGACATGGTGGGACCTTGATAACCCTAACCCTCTCCTTCACCCTTCACCCTCATTCCTCATCCTTCGCCATCACACTTGCTCTCACCATTGACATCACACCTCACCCTAACCCTCACCCTCACCCTCATCCTCACCATCACACTCACCCTCACTCCCACCCTCACCCTCCTCGTCCTCACCCTCACCCTCACACTCACCCTCATCCTCACACTCACCCTCACCCTCACCCTTACACTCACCCTCACCCTCACCCTCACCCTCACCCTCACCCTCACCCTCACCCTCACCCTCACCCTCACACTCACCCTCACCCTCACCCTCACCCTCACCCTCACACTCACTCTTACAGTCACACTCACCCTTACACTCACCTTCACCCTCACACTCACCCTCACCCTCACCGTCACCCTCACCCTCACCCTCACCCTCACCCTCACCCTTACACTTACCCTCACACTCACCCACACCCTAACACTCACCCTCACACTCACCCTCACCCTCACCCTTACCCTTACACTCACCCTCACCCTCACCCTCACACTCACCCTCACACTCACCCTCACCCTCACTCTCACCCTCACCCTCACCCTCACCCTCACCCTCACCCTCACCCTCACCCTCACACTCACACTCACACTCACCCTCACCCTCACACTCACCCTCACCCTCACACTCACCCTCACCCTCACCCTCATCCTCACCCTCCCCCTCACTTTCACCCTTAGCCTCCCCCTCACTCTCACCCTCACCCTCACACTCGCCACCACTCTCCTGTAATGTGTGTGTTTTGCGCGTGCTCGCTGCAGGGCTGCCAGCACGACACGATCGGGCCGCAGTGTGAGCAGTGCCGCATGGGTTTCTACGGCGACCCGCAGCGAGGCACGGCCAGCGACTGCAAGGCGTGCGCGTGCCCCCTCACCGACCCCGACAACAACTTCAGCTCGCAGTGCGAGCGCGACCCACTCAACCCCAGCGACTACATCTGCACCGAGTGTCCGCAGGGCTTCGTCGGAAACCACTGCGAGATG